GATGTGCTTAAGTAAATGCAAAGGAACCAAAGTTATGTCCTGTATATTATCAGCATTTAGAGAAAAAAAAATCAAGAATAAAATAATAGAACTGAGCCAAACTCTTGAGCAGATGAATTTAATAGATATCTACAGAGTGTTTCACCCCACAAAATCAGAATATACATTCTTTTCAGCTGCACATATATGCTAGTTCATAGGATGTGCTTAAGTAAATGCAAAGGAACCAAAGTTATGTCCTGTATATTATCAGACCATAGTACAATAAAATAGGAGATGAATAGTATAAGAAACTGCAAGAACCCCATAAACACATGGAAACTGAATAGCACTCTCCTGAACAACCAATGGGTCACAGAGGAAATTATACAGTTTCTACAACTAAATGATAATGCTAATACAACATACAGGAATCAATGGGCAACAATGAAAACAGTTCCAGGAGCAAAATTCACAGTAGGGAATGTCCATACTAGGAAAACAAAGAGCTAAAATGAACAACCCAATGCTAATCCTCAAGCTCCTAGAAAAAGAGCAAGACAAACCCAAAATTCATACAAGGGAGAAAATTATAAAGATCAGAGCAGAACAATGCAATGGAGACTAAGAAAATGATACCAAAAATCAACGAATCAAAGAGTTGTTTTTTTAAAAGAATAAATAAAATTGATAAACCCTTACCCAGCCTTATCTAAAAAAGGAAAGAAAAGGCCCAAATCCATGTAATTAGGAATGAAAAAGGTGAAGTCAAAACAGATCCAGCAGAAATTCAGAGCATTATCAATACCTACTTCCAGAAACTGTACTCTGATAAAAAGGATAGCACAGAAGAAATGGACAGATTTATAGATACATATGAATTACCAAAGTTTAATGAAGATACAAAAACTCTACACACCCAATTATAATCAGTGAAATTGAAAAAGTAATTAAAAATTTACCAATAAAGTACAGGCCAAGTCCTGATGGCTTCACTGATTAATTCTACAAGACATTTAGAGAAGTATTGCCACTACTATTTAAACTCTTCAATGAAATTGAAAGGGAAGCAATATACCCAAAATCATTCCTGGAAGCAAGCATCTGCTTGATCCCCAAAGCTGAAAAAGACCCAACTGAAAAAGAGAACTACAGGCCAATCTCTCTAATGAGTATAGGTGCAAAAATCCTCAACCAGACACAGGCAAACAGAATACAGAGGATCATCAAAGAAATAATCACCCTGAGCAAGTCAGATTTATCCCAGGGATGCAAGAATGGTTCAACATATGCACATCAGTAAATGTAATGCCCTATATTAACAGAGCCAAGGACAAAAAAATGTGATCATCTCAATAGATACAGAAAAAGCTCTTGACAAAATTTCACACCCATTCATGATAAAAACCCTAGAGGAAATTGGAATAGAAGGTCTTCATCTCAACCTGATTAAAGCTATCTATGAAAAAGCAACAGCCAACATCATACTAAATGGTCAAAAACTGAAAACTTTCATGCTAAATTGAGGAATAAGACAAGGATGTCAACTATCACCACTCCAGTTCAATATATTTCTAGGAACATTAGGCACAGCAATTAGACAAGAAAAACAAACAAAAGGAATAAAGATAGGAAAGGAAGAAGTTAAATTGTCATTATTTGCTGATGATATGATACTCTACATAGAAGATTCAAAAAACTCTGCCAAAAGATTTCTATATTTAATTGTCAGTTTTCGGAGAGTAGCTGGGATACAAAGTCAACACTAAAAAATCAATAGCCTTCTTGTACACACATAACAGGCTCACTGAGAGAAAAATCAGAGAAACTATTCTTTTCACAATAGCACCCCAGAAAAAGAAATAGCGGTACTGGAGCCTGCCTCGCAAGCACAAGGTGTGGAGAACAAAAAAAAACAACAACAACAAAATGCCCTTGATAATAACATTACGCCCTGTTTTACCTTTCATGGGAAGTAAAATTAATAACTTTATTGTGATTCGTAAACTATCCCTAAAGGCACAGGAAAATATAATGGTAGTTGAATTGAAATGTGTCTATAAAACTACTTTAACAGTTAAGAGTAACATACATTTAGTGAATCCTTAAACCTGGTGTGTGACCAAAAAGAAGAAGCCGTATTTGTTTTTATTATTACAACGAAGACAAAAGTGCCAAGTCAACACAAGCTGGAAATCGTTATGATTGATTGTTTTCTAATAGCTGCTGGAGCTGGCTATTTCTTATTTAGGAAAATTCAGCACTGTAAGCTTCCTGGTCACTAGGGGGTGCTACTGGACAGGCTCCTGGCTCATCAAAGGGCTCTCCAGGCACAGGGGAGGCTGCGGAAGCCTGGGATTCTTAGTGTTATCTGGCATCCCTGGGACTCAAATGTGAGAGTGGAGTTACCTTTTATGCACTCACATAACTGTTTTTCAATAACAAGGTTATTTATGACAGCTAGTGGCATCTTCCTCAATAAAAATGCAAAATAATAAATGTGGAATAAAATTGAGCAATTTCTCTTAAATTTTCAACATTAGAGATATTAGGTAAGTAAACAAAAATTAGGTTAAATGGATACCTTCTCTCCTAGATCTGGGAAAAAAACAGTATGAGGGGGGCCAAGGATTTAGTTTAGGGGTTCGGTGGCCTGCCTTGAAAGCTCAAGGACCCGAGTTCAATTGCCAGTACCAAAAAAAAAAAAAAAAAAAAGTATGAGGAAAGGGTTTATCCCAAAGATGGTAACTAAGCATCATCAGGATATGCATAATTTACCCATTGTAGGTCAAATCCATTTCAGTACAAAGAATAGGTAAAGTTCTTTAGCTTATCTAAAAAACTGTAAATAACTGCACTATTGATTGTCACAGGAAAAAGAGGAGATGAGAGCCAAGCAGAGAAACAACCACACACAAGCTAATTTAGTGACCACAGTCAGGGTTTTGTAAACTACACTGGAAAAAGCAGGTGAATCTAGAAATGATGATGATTATGTATTTATACTTAGAAGCACATAGGCCATAACTTCAAAAGATAGAGTTACTAGGTTTCTGAAAACTGTTGCTTAAAAAAAGGCATGGCATAAAATGGAGGCAAAGTGTGCAAGACAGTAAGGGTTATTCAGGTATGTGATATTATTGTTTGGTGTGGTTTCTTTTCTTTCTTTCTTTTTTTCTTTCTTTCTTTTTAAGACAGGGTCTCACTATGTAGTTGAGACTGACCTGGAACTCACTACGTAGCCCAGGCTGCTCTCGAACTCGCAGCGATCCTCCTGCCTCAGCCTCCCAAGTGCTGGGATTACAGGAGTGCACCACCACACCCAGCCTGCTTTGGTTTCTTTTTCTTTTCTTTTTTTGGTACTGGGGTCAAACTCAGGACCTTGTGCTTAGAAGGAGGATGCAGAGAGTAAAGGATATTCAGAAGGGACCCAGAAAACCTGAACAAAGCTAGGAGACCACACCCACTTTTTATATTTATTGTTCTATACAATGAAGGTCTAGTCTTGCATAGAGTTAATATAGACATAAATTAAATCAATTTAACATATTATGATGATTAATAAAAAGAATCCTGGGTTCAATCTCTAGCACCACAAAAAATAAACAAACAAAACGAAAAAACCACAAAGAGTAATATTCATGCATACATTTCTTGAATTATAATGCATTTTAACACTACAAAATTCAAAATTTGTATCTTCATCTGGGAGAGAATGTTAACTCTAATGTTTTCACAAAAAGTAAAATTTGTATATTATGTTTGTTGTTTTAAAATGTCATGATTTTTCTGATCTCAATTTTGTACATTATCACTATCTAGCCAACAAGCAAAATTTTAATATTTTGAAAAATTTAGACAGATATCTGGACTGACATTCACCAGATATTTATGATAGCTATTTCTAAGTGCTATACCCTCTCTATATTCCTAATACTAGATTTTTTTTCATCAAAACAGATAACAAGAGATTGAATGCAGAAGCAGATAACAAACCTATTAGTTTTCAACTGAGCTAAACATTAAAGGAATTTTCACAAAGTAAATGAGGCCATATTTTCACTAACATTTTGCTTTGGAAAATCAAGCATTTTATAAGTATATGTTCTTTTTAGTTCAATGGTTTTGATCTCTGCTATATTTACAATGATAAGCATGTGAGATTTTTATCAGTTTTAACTTTAACATGGTCAATATTGATAGACATAGCCTGCATAAGCCAGAACCTGTGGGGGTCCTTTTAATTTTTAAGCATTAGAAAAAAGTCATAAAACAAAAAATACTGAAAAATTCTATCCTTATGACCACTGAAAGTATAGCTTTCAATCAAATCTCATTCACCAGCACCAATTTATATAAATATGTCTAACAGACAACTCAAAATAATTTTAACCTCTTTATTTTATCCCCAATCTGACAAATCTGCTCTTTTCTTAATTTTTCCATTTGTGCTGAGAGACAGCACAGTGCATCTGCTTGGTTACTCATTTCCCAAACCTAGGACTGCCACTGATTCCTTCTACAACTCCACACGACTAATCCAGGAGCAGTTCCACTGACATTCCTACTAAAATGTAATCCTAGTTTCGCCACTGTTTCAAGCCTTCACAACTATCATTCCAGTTTAAAGCGTCATCATAGTCTCTTGGCATCTTGGAAAATTAAAACCAAAAACAAACCATTTCAGAAGGGCAATAATAGTGAATTACAAGCACAGTATTTTCCATATCATCATCCAAATCTAAGTAACTTACACAATATATTCTTCTTCATTTTTTAAGACAGTGATTTAAGAGTAAAGTGATTCTGTTTTCTCTAAACAAATTTTGAAGGCCACGAAGCAAGAGAATATGTGACATATAGTTGGTGAAGTAATTTTCATAGACTATAAGCATATAATTTTGACAGTTTATATTAAAACCAAATAAATTATATTTTAACATGTTTTATGTTTCAGAACCTTTTTTTATAAAACGTAAGTTTTACATTTTTCTTTTCACTAGATATATAGTTCAACTTACCTTATCAAGTTCATCTGAAATTGCAATACCTGGGATTCAAAAGAGATTTATAAAAAAATGTTTTAGAAACAATCTTTAATAACCTATTGTTTAAAGAAAACAAAGTTCTATTTGTAAAACTAGTGCATTTCCTATTCTATTTTTTCTTTGCATCAGTTCTTTCATATATGGCAGCACAGTTTTTTTAGTAATGAAAAGAAATTAGGAATTTAAGTCAGCTATGGCAGCCACGACCTGCTGAAATAATGGAAACAATGTAAGTAAACAAAATAAGTACCATATTTCTTGGAGTTTGTTAGAGGCAGAGCAAACTTCCAAGGACAATTGTGGAAATACTGTCTTTATGTTATGATGAGAATAAAATGCAACTTATCCCGTTACAATTTTGCTCCCTTTAGAAACTGATTTACACTCCTATAATGAATAAATATTAAGGCAGAATGGTGACTGAAGATCTTTTGTTTTGTTTAGGAAGAAACAAAAAAGATCTTTAAGGCCCTTTAATAGCTTCTTGAGCCAATGTTTACTTCTCTACATGGGGATGACCAGTAAATCTTTGTTACCAGCATAAACTTTTTCCTGAGCATTTGGGCATTTCAATCTCAATAAGTCAGACTAAAGACACCATCAACCTGAGTCAAGATAGAAGAAATAAAGATAGGTAAAAAGAAGACAAGGAACATCATGATTCTAAAAATGAAAGCTACACCTTCAGGACACAAACCCAGTTTAATTTTTTTTTCTTTTCTCCCAAGATACAATAAGCCTTGGTATTTCCTTTTTACCTACAAATGGAATTTTTCCATTACCTTTTATCTGCTAATGGAATAAACCATCTCTTTTCATCTGAAAATAGGCCTTTCCCTCTGAGTGAGCTACAGCTCTATTACCTGTGAGGGCTCTCACCTATGAACTGGCTATCATCCTTTAGCCACACAAATAGCAGTCACCTTTTCATCAGCAAATTGAACCCCCTTTTTCCATGTCTTGACCAGATGTGCAGATTTCCACCCCTAAATCTCCCATAAATATATCCAGACCTAGACTATGATGTGCTCTCTGCTGAAGGCCCACGCTCTGAGTGTGTACTTTAAGAATTTCTGCTTAATCAATCCTTTTGTGGTTCTTACAGATTTGCCTTGAAATTTTTTTTTTTTTTCTCCAGTAGGAGCCAGAGAACCTGTAACTCATTCTAAGGATAGGATGGATTTAGGAGCCTCATCACTGCTTTCGGAGCCCCTAGTATGCTGTTGCGTGATACTTTCGGCTCATTTTGATTTTTGTTTATTTATTTTTTCTTGAACAATGATATTTCTAAGGCTTAATAGAAGGCTCTGTGGATGGGCATGGGAGCAAGTGCAGCCATTTTTCAGGATTGGGGAAGAAAAAAAAAAAAGAGAGAGGAGCTTGTGTTCAAACTCCCCTGGAGAGTAGGCCTGAAAAGACTCTAGTCGAAGTCCAAGGGAACAGAGAGAAAATAAGAATAAAATTTCAAGCTGAAGTTCAGTAGACTTTAAAGAGCAAGAAGGAGTTGAAAAAGTCTCCAGAAAATAAATCTGGGTAAAGAACCTGTTCAGAGTCCCTCCCCTGCTCAGTTGCGAAATTCATGCAGAGAGCAGAGTGGACACCAGTTTCTATAAAGTTCCCTGTCACCAGATTGCAGGTCTGGAAGGACTTTTTCCCAGATTTTTGGTAACTTGAAGAAATGAAGAACACACACAGAAAAGGCTGTGAACGTGCACATTTATTTAAAGCAGAAAGGAAATATGCTCTATAAGGCAGGAGGAGGTTCATGGGTGAACAGACTCGCAGGGCCCTGAGAAGAAAGGAAAGGGAC